TTACTAGTTTTATTAGTAGCCTTTTAGGTCGACATAATTATCATTTTATAGTATTATTTCTTTATTTCATAAAGCAAGTAAGTTGTAAGTTATTATTTATTATAAACACTGTGAATGGGCGCAGCCATGTTGTTCACCCGTTATATCTTAAAGTCGTGATAATTACTGCATGTCACGTAATGCAATTCTTCCAGTCATAAAAACAAACACAGCCAGGTGATTTATTTGACACCTTTAATTTTTTATTTGATAGATATATTTACATTGTTTGTAATAATTAGACTTTCGGCAAGTTAGCGATTGATCTAAAAATAAATGATAATCGGGATTAACGATAATTGTTAAGGGCCGTAAACCATTAATTAACCCGACCATTAAACGCTGCCAAATTCAACAGAGAATGTTAATTGCCGATGCATGAAGAAAGCTATTGCCGAGGGGAATCGACAGTCAATAATTGGGGGCTGTATATTGTAAACTTGTAAGTGTCAACGTTCCTGTGTATTATGTGTACCAGGTCAGAATATGTTTTACGATCGAGAGGTGAAATGTGCGAGATTTGATTTAAGAAAATTTATGAAAATTTTGCAAAATATCATGATTTTTTTTTCCGGGATCAAATCGATGCCCGGGACATCTCCGGGACAGACATCCGATTTCCGGGACAATCCCGGGCATCCGGGACGTTATGGCATGTATGGCTATAAAGTCACTGTTTGACGTTCTATATTTAGACATGTGACATAATCATTATACATGTGACGTAACCACTATAAAATCCGACGCGCTGACAATAAGTACGGAAACAAATCAGGCGCAATTTTGCTTAATATCAGGTATGGCAGCATTTATTTGTTAATGTCGTGTTAGAATCGAAATAATATATCCAAATCGGTGATTTTATCGCTGGATAACATCACTGTTTGTCGTTCGGATGCGCATCATTATATCACTCGGGCTACGCCCTCGTTATATAATTCCTCAATCCGAACTCCAAACAGTGATGTTATTGAGCGATAAAATCATAGTTTGGGATATATCATTTCTTAAATAAATGCGAAATTGATGGCTAGATCCACTTTGTTCATGGCTCAAAATGGCTTCATATTTTGTTATATTCATGGGTAGATTTTATTTGATCTATTCATGGCTAGATCTACCCATTTTCTATTCATTGCTAATTTTATCCTTTATGTATCATATATGTATACATATTATATCTTTTTTGTTCTATTGATAATTCAGCTTTAAAGTAAGAAAGTCAACCATCAAGCAATTATAAAGAACACAATGAATTTTTTTCACATTTATTATTCATAGATGATCATCTACACTTAATGGTAATAATCCAATAAACAAATAGCATTCAGCCTTAAATATAAACAGAAATGACTAACTTTTGTTAAACATGGCAACTTACTTTAACATATACAAAAACAAATGATCAGACTACAGTGCTGAAAGTATACTGAAAGTATATTCTAATAATAATAGAAATCCAATACATGAAATCTTAGTATCTTAGCAATCTTGTTATGGTTTTGTTTAATTTGACACAACACTTTGCTTATGTCAAATAAGCAAGTTTGAGCATCTAAATACTAGTAAAAATTACCAAAACCTGATGTGCTAGAGAGTGCATTCTTATCAGATATACATGTAAATATACTCAGATAAAACAGATGTAAATTTGTCATATTAGATTAACTAGTGTCTTATACATGTTATATATGTAACAATTGTTTTCAGCAAACTTGTGATAGCAAAAACTAATTTTTAAAAAATTTCTAATACACGGGTCCCCTTTTTAAATGACAATAATTGATAATAACAAAAGGGGTAAATTGGAAATAAGGGACACAAAGTTTTTTAATTTTTCACATAAATAAGTTAAAGGGAATTAAGATTTATAAAAGTTTTTTTTTTTTCCCCAAAAATTCAATTTAAAGCCCAGCCTTGATAAAAATTTTTATTGTACCAAACCGAAAAAAGAAGTTATAATTTAAAGCCTAATTTACAAAAATTTTTTAAAATGAAAAAGGTTTTTTTTTGTTTACTTGAGGGGAGGACCATTTCATTTTTTTGGGGCGGCGGGGTTGCCAAAGTTTTTAACCAAAACCTTTTTTAAAGCAAGCTTGAAAAGTTTTCCCCTCATTATTTTTTTAAGTTCTGCGGGATTTAAAAACCGGGAGGGGAAGGAAAAAGTTTTTTAAAAAAAGATGGCAAACTTAACCACTCGGCCACAGGTTGTCCCCCTTGAAAAAAGGATTTAAACATACATCACAAAAATAACCCTTTGACTTAAATAATGACTACACTGGGCAACTAGATGATATATTTTAGGACAGGAAATAAATCGTCAATTATTATATAATATGGTGCATAAATTGCAATTATCAATTATAACATATGACAGTGGATCTTGAATACATGTATATTGCAGTATCTGAAGATGTATATGAATAACTGGAAAGTTTTATGTTCAGAACATAAAACTTTCCAGTAATTGTTATTACATCTATAAACAATTCATATAACTTTGCCTGACTAGATATTGTTAGCCTGTCATATACCGTCACCTTAGTGCAGTAACGGGTTAAGTCTTCTAAATTTAATAATAGATACCCAGTTACTGCATTAAGGTGATAATACATTTGCATATACTATTTCTTTATAAATTCATTAAAACTCTTTAAGAGTTAAAAAAATCCAAATATAACAATAACAGCCCTTTATAACATGTCACGTCTGTATCTTTCACAATGGAGCATTATCTTTTGAAATTTTCTATGAAACTGTCTTTGGAGATTCTATTTTGGAAATAATCACTAATTAAAGGGGAACTCCACTGAGGTCTAATAGCCTAAAATAGATAATATGTGTGAATTTTTTTCAAAAAATTAATCAGCTGGTGCACTTAAAAAGGAAAAAACTACGCAATAGGTAAATATTAAACATACAAGATAGTAGATACTAAATTGATACTCAATTTTTTATACAATTTTGGTATAAAAGCATGGCAACGCTTTTCATTTTGGAGTCAATTTGCACAAAAAATTTGTAATATTTAGGAAGCGAGGTGAGCAAATGGTGTCCTACATACAGTTATCCATTCATGTCAAAAAAACCTCAGTTGAGTCCCTTTAACCCTTGGCCTATTGAAATTGCGTTATGGATTTTGGTCTGCTTTGGATTCAAAACAGCTCAATGTTTAATGGATTTCAATAACAAAATACAAAAAAACATGAGCTACCCAACAGTATCAAGTCAAGTCAACCTGCACTATACTGGTGGCAAAGGTTCCAGCAGGGTATCAAGGGTCAATCAATCTATGAGCCGCATCATGACAAAACCAACATAATGGGTTTGCAACCAGCATGGATCCAGAACAGCCCGGCATCCGCGCAGTCTGATCAGCATCTATGCCTTTCGCTTACAAACCCTATTACAAGTAGAGAAACTGATAGCGAACAGCATGGATCCTGATCAGACTGCACGGATGCGCAGGCTGGTCTGGATCCATGCTGGTCGCAAACGCATTATGTTGGTTTTGTCATGACGCGGGCTCCTATATCTATTGCAATGTCTCTGTTGTTACCATGATGTTAAGATTTGTTTTACATAGTCATCTTAATTATTCAATAGGTTAATTTCATGTTCATTTTCAACAATAAGTAGCAATCACAACAAACTAGAAACTGTTTTTGAAGTAAAACCTAAGTCAAATTATTTTATTGTAATTTTCTTATATAAAAGTTTAACCAAAAAACAAATAAAAAAACATCATGAGCAATCAAATTCAAACATGTACTTTGAACTGTGACCAATCATGACATCAGTCTTAAATTTCTTCATTACTATTGTTCTGTTGCTAAAAAAATAAATATTCATAAATGTGTAAACAATTCAAACACTTACTAACATGTTGATACCTTGCCCGTTATTAATAAAATAACTTCCTTGACACTGATCAAAAGTCAATCATCAAAATGTTCACACTTTTCTTACAATAATAAATATATTTAACTGAACTAAAATTCTGAGACTGTCATGCACTGTAACATATCTGTTCTTTCACTGTCCCACTTACCAAAAAACATTAATATTGTTAAGACATATCTTTAAGTTGTGTCCATATGACAAACAAGAACATTTAAAGGCCCATATTGCCCCAGAAATACTATCACTTTTATTTCTAAATAAAACTGTTTAATGTTGGTATGTTGTTACAGTTTCCAAAAGTATAAAGCATTTGCTATATACATGAACTATCTTTTGCATTTTTGGCAATTGGTATAATTATAGTGAATAAGTAGTTTGTATGGAGGTGTTAATACCACTTTGTTTACATTTTTCTACCTTAATAACACATAACTGCATGTTTGGCATTACTTTTTCAGTTGTAAAACATCTTACATGCACATTTCCCATTATTTAAACATTATTAAACAAATGTTTAACATTCCTAAAGAATTAAACAAACATAGATTTTTGAGGCATAATGTGCCTTTAAGATAAATACTGATCACTGTAAAGAATTTAACCGTGTTCTTGTGAAAACTGACATTATGACCCTTCCATCAAATTGCCTTGTAGGGAAAGTGAACAAAAATATCTTGGGATATTCTAAGTGAAAAACTATCTTAGGCTATCCTAGAATCTACATGGTCATACATATAACTAAAAAAAAAGTAGCTGAATTAAAATGCTTTGGCCAAACTTTCATTATCAAAGCCTTAAGATAAGTTTACAAGTTATACCTTGAATAAGTTTGTTTGTCTTACTAACAACATGTATTTACCTACTGGTATCTTCCTTGGTTAACATCACAAATAAATTACCAAAATAATTCAGTGGATAGAACAACTACCAGTTTACAACATAACATATCAAACAAATATCACAAAATATAACAATCAACTAATCTTGGTGTACCTTTCTCAACATTACCAGTAACTTTTCATCCATTCTAAAAAAAGATGTCTCTTTTTATTAAAAAAAAAAACAACAACAACAATTTCACAGCATCCAAAACAAAACTAAAGTTCAAATTCTGATACACTGTGCGTTCCAAATTGTTTGAAATCTGTGGCTTACAAAAAGTTTTTGTGAAAACATTTGCTCGGACAAATTTCACCAAAAATGTTTATATCTAAATCAGGTAAAATTTGCAAGATTTCTTTACTGCAACATCTTTTCAAAGTATATCAATTAACTTTTTTGATTCCTATACAAACTTATGACTAAAACTTATTTTACCAAACATTTAAAGCAATGAAGCATTTTTTTAATAAGCACAGTCTAAGCATGTTAAAATACAAAAAGACTTTAAAAATAGTATAACATCTTTCTGTTTCATTACATAAATAGCTTCAACAAAAGGGAGACAACTTATTCCAAATATTTCAGTAAGAAAGATTATGTGCAGGTAGAGAATTGTGTATTTTTACATCTACAAGATCACTTTCTATTATTGCAATTGACATCTTAACCCTTTGAGCCCTGATAATAACAGATCTATGAAGCCAGTGTAAAACTTTGTCAGCCGTCACTTTTATTCAGTACGGCCAGGTTCAATAACTTAGGGGCTGCATTTTTCCTCTATTTAAGAAATGAACAGTCATAAATTATAAGTAGAACGTGTCGATAACTCTTTATCAATTTTGGTAATAATCCTAGTGTGTTATATATGATAGCTACTCCAAAGGAATATGTTCATTCATACTGCACACATCTTGCATGAAAAAACACTATTTTCTACGATAACTAAACTGTTTCACTTCACATTAATATTATAAGTATCTATATTGAATGGTGATGAAAGTTTATTTTACAACTTAGTAGCAATACTGTTTTATTGTACTCTTTTTTTTCTTCTTCTAGTTTTCATAAAAAATATAAAGAGTGGCTTGACGAGTACCAAAAGATATAAAAATATAACTTAATGAAAAAAATCAAAATGGTTCTCTTCTGAACATCTCCACAAATATATACATCATAAAAATATGTATATAATTGTTACAAGATTTCTATAGACACAAATATAATTTTATAAGGAAACTACACATATATTCATACACATTTTTTCTTCTTCACTAATTTTAATGTAAGCACATCTGAAAATCAAAAACTCAAAATATTCCCCACAATAACTTTAATATTTCTAACATATTGTCTCAATATATATAAAGATATGTATGAAATTTCATGTGAATGTCCATGGTGTATTCATATGTAAATTTGAGAATAACCAACCAAAATATGTCCAGATGTCTAACTGAAAATCTAACAGTCGACATTTTCCAACCATACTTTGAGCAAAGTGATATGAAAAAGACCCTTATAACTGTTCCCATACTGAAAGCCTTTGTCTCTCTAAAACAACTGAAAAAATCCACTCATAAAATCAGCAATCATACACCATAAAACAATCATCTAAATAACAAAATAAAATATTCAAATTCTACTGTTCATTTATAAATAACAAACTACATCTTTTCCATCTTATGTGGTAGTAACCAATGAAAAAAACCAATCTTTAGCTATTGCAGCAAGTAAAACCTTTGTTTTAAACCTATTTACAAACAAAACAAGTCTTCATTCTGTAAACAATGTTCAAAAATTAAAATGATCTGTGCGTATTACATTTGGTTCATGCTTTAAATATGTTTACATTCAAAATAATCTACAGTTTTACAGAAGGTCAATCCTTCGCTAACGAGGTGAGAAAGTTTTTCACGTCATCCATCTCCTGTAAGGTAAAAATAGAAAAAATTTAAGGTATAGTTTATTAGGAATTTTTCATTGCATGGAACTGCATTTAAGCATTCACTTGATGCCTACTCCATTCAACAATCAAACAACAATATTTCTCCCACTGTTTTACTTTTTCGGATTATGATTTTGCGGACAACCTCAAAAATTTTGCTCCTTCACATATCCAATATTTTGACCCCTATCACTTTAGGAAGGGCTTAATAAAGAAAGCACTATGTAACTAACACCTTAATCATTGCTACTATATCAGACACAAGGAAACTGGTCCAATAAAAATCAAATTTTTTTGTGTTCGACTTAGGCCAATTATTGGTATGTCATACTGTAGGACTTGACAAAATGCATCTACATACATAGTACCAACGTCATTTGATTGGCTATTACATGTTGTATTGAAGTAAATGGCCATAAAATATAAAACTTAACAGATAAGATTAACAAACACGCTGACGATGAGCAGGTCACAACAATCGTCACTAGCTCCCCTTTTTCTTTTTAAAGTGTAGCTACAAATGTTTCATGGCCTTCAAAGATACAAACAAAAACAATGGCCTACAAAGATTTAAACAAAAACAATAACAGATCCTAACCTCAGGACATGATGAGTGTTGTATGGGATAATCTTTAAAATCAATTTTTGTCGTCATTTTCTGAAGTACATCTCTGGTCATTTCTCCCCACTTGAATGGCACAAGAGGATCGATTCGACCATGACCTTGAAACACTGGAATGTTTCTGTTTGCTTCTTTAAGGCCCTGGAAGTAATAAAAAATCATAATAATAATAATTGAGACTAAAATATAATCGTAAAATGCTTTGTCAAAAACAATAACTGAAATGAAATACAAGTTACTAAATGGTTTCGAGATGCTATGTTTTTTCAAATCATAACTTGTGAACAATGTACTTGAATTGAGTTTGATTTTTGGTAAAAATGCAAAAAATAGAGAACAATAACAATTGATCAACATTTCTGTCTTAATTAAAGGTACCTTCAATCTTCATTAAATACTTATATCTAAATAATTATTTAACTTTGGCTTTAAGTCAAACTCAAGATTTCAAGCTATTGGAATTATCCGTGTTTTCAATGGCTGAAGATATAACAATACAGGAGAGACCGTAACCATCAGTCTACTAAAATTAAATAAAGTAAACTAAATAGTTCCCTACTATGTACTATACAAAAGTTTGGGGATTTTTTTGCGGGTTTGGGTAAATCGCACCAATACCGTAAAGGTCAAATGGCAGATTTCCAGCTTTACAATTAGAATCCAAATTCACTTTGCTATGCGGTAAAGCAGTAAAAGCAAGTAAACTTTATCAGTCATCAAATGAAATTCTGCAGGGTCATGCCAAAAAAGAACCTGTTATTAAAAAAGAACTCAATATACATACTGCTGGAAATTCTGAATGTATTGGCAGCCATGTACTAAGTCCAACAATTCCTGCCAAAGGTTTATCATGAGTAAATGCTGTATATAGAGCAACGGCGCCACCTTGAGAAAATCCACCTAAAATTATGTTCTCTGACGATATCCCTTTCTTCTCCTCCTCTTCTATTAATTCACGTACTGAAATATACATGAGAATTTCAAGTCATGTACAGCTGTCATTTATTCAGTGCAAAGCATATTATGATATATCAATATCCGATGACAGATAGTGACAGTGCAGTTTTCATATTTTTACAAAATATTTTACTAATGGTAGCTTTTATACTTCTTCACCTGCTGAATTTCTTAGACTTGTCTAGTTTCCATTTTTGGAACTGTCCATTATCAATTCTTGGTATATCAAGATGAAACTTTAAAGCAAGTAAGCCTACAATATAGAGCATGCATTGATGTGCACAGGCTCAACATGTATACTGGTTTGCAAATCTAATTAATATTCTCTGGTGGCCTGGTAAACAATATAGCCATCTTAAATAAGATTTTAGATTTCATTCTGATACAGATTTGGCCTTTCAACTCTTTGTTATCACCACATATAGGTTTAAACCCTTAAGAAAAGAGTATTGAGTGAAAAACTTATAAATTACTAAATACCAGAACTTAACAATGGCAAAAAACAACAGTATTACTAGGTTAAAAGCTTTGTTTTTTTAAATCTCATATATTTGGAAAACTTACAGGATGATACAGCTTTGTTTATGCCAGCCACATCTTGTTGTCCATCAGGGTTCAATGATACAATGTCAAACCTACAAAGCATTATCAAATATAATGAACTATTCATAGAGTATGTGATCAAAAATATTAATTCTTTAAAAAGTTGGCATAATTTCCTTTTTAATAAGGAATTTATTCTTTTTTAAATGATTAAAATACATACAGCTTTAAGCTTGCGGGATAGCTTCCTCTACAAAAGAATCCAGGTCTCTGTGGCAAGATTCAAACCCACTGCATGCGGGGCAAGTGGTTTGTAGGGAAGGACTAAGACACAGAAGCCCTTAATGAATTGTTAAAACTTTGCTAAAACCCCCAACACTGCCCTGGGAATTGGTAAGGATGAGTAGCTGGGTTGCAAATTACTGTTACATAAAAATGTTAAGAACTGTCAATTCACCAAGATTAACCAAAGTCCTATCTTATTTTCTAATTTAAAATTGCCATCTTGAGACTACATTTATTTCAAAAAAAAAATTTCCCCCGAATTTTTCTAAATTATGTGATTGCTCAAAAACCATTTCCCATTAAAATTAACAGATGAATCATTTTTTGCAATGAATTTTAACTGCAGGTTGTTTAGTGTGTTTTTTTTTCTTATTAAGGGCAACAAAATGTGCAAGGTTCAAAATGCATAGCATTTTATCTATGCAATCTTTGAAATCTAGTTGAAAATTAATTCAGTAGTATACAATTAAAGAAGACTGATAAAACTTCTGGCTTCAAAGGTTAGTATATGCAAGGCTGCATATCTAATAAGGCATGAAATTGGCACATAGTAAAGCACATTTCAAAGCTGAACAAAAGGGGAGCAGCAGTGGCCTAGCAATTTAGTTATGTCTCATGACGCAAGGATGACAACTTTGAGCCCTACTGGGATAATAGCCATGTTCTCTTATATTATGATACTAGTACTTCTCAATTCGGGAGAGACTGCTTCAAATTGGCTTCAAGTTTCAATGACAACCAGGTTAATATATCATATATAATTTATACAAAATGAACTACATAAGACATAGTTAAAGAGAAATAGTTATGGAATATTTCAAAGAATTTGTCATTTTCCACCATAATAGTAACTGAAATCGTTTCAAAGCAAAATATATCCAATTACAACATAGCAAAACAAACCTGTATGCTAACTCAAAATTTTAACTTAATTAAGAGGGCACATTTAGTCCCTAATTTTATCATACATGTATTCTTACTTACCATGAGGGCATCATGAAACCACCATTCAAAGTAACTGGCATCACAGGTCTAGAGAAGAAAAGATGGTCAAATAAGTACAATCAACCATTATCTACCATGTAAAATCTAAAATCTTTCAAACTAAACAATAGTCAATTTTCAAAATATTTTAAAAATCTGGTAACAATTCAAGTTAACAGAAAACAGAAAAAGCTAATCCAAATTCAAAAACAGTTAAATTTTAACACATGAATTCAGTAGAGTAACTATTCTATAGTTAACTATATTTTCTTTCAGAAGGCAGGTTATACAAAATCAAAAACCTATGGTATCATTTTATTTTAAAGTAAACAAATTCAATTTAATTCAGTAAATTAACAATTTAACTGAATTTACGTCTGTTTCCTTTAATAACAGTTTTATTGAACATTTTGTATTTTCAAATTCGAAGTCTAAAATATTTGTGTTGGGCTTTAAAAGAATAATGAGTGGAATAGTCTGTTACAATGCAATATTTTCATTAACTGTAAATCTATCTCATGAATTCAATGAATAATTTGAAGCCACATATTAAAGTGCAATTTCACGATTAAATACATTCATAATTATCTTCTGTATATTTTTTTTTCAAGAGAGATATGTGAAGTGAACAAAATCTTAATCTTGACTTTAAACATAAGAAATCAATGATTTTACTACCAGTAAATCACTTGCTACATCCCAGATGCACTTTTTGTATATATATTCAACATTAATTATGTTAATTTATTCAACATTTTGTATCATGACAAAATTTTAAGCAATGATAAAACTCATGTGTGATCAAATATACAAGATATTTTACTTACGCTGTAGGGCATACACATTTTATATTCTTTAATTTCAACTGTTTAAATGCATCTGACCAGGCTTGTCTGAAAAGAAAACCAAATGATAAAGTTCTGTATAATACTGTTAATCTCATAAAATAATCATGGTTGTTTTAATCTTATATAAATATAAAAACTTCTTCCACATATTCTCAAAATTTTATTACTTAAATTACATGTACATAATAACAATAATGATGATGATGACAATGATAATGACAGCTGCAGACAGCACACATGACTATTCACAATACTTGATAGTAAAACAATAGCCCGGATAATGTAGGAATTTATTCAAAACTGGAACTAACACAGGTCAGGCATGATACCACTACACACCATAATGCAGTCTAAGTTTATGCCAGAGTTATAGGCCTTGGAAATTCCAATTATGATCCCACAGATATGTCTTAATGAAGTATCACTTTAGAATCTTCAGTAGTTCTGAAGATTGATGTTACAAAACTTAAACTTGTAATTTTCAAAGTTCACAAAAGGTCATAATTCAGTAAAAATCCATGTCAGAGTTGTGGGTTTCGAATTATAATTTCACAGACATGTCTTAAGATTCAACTGAATACCTTCAATAGTTTTGAAGATCGGTATTGCAATGCATGGGAAACTTTGACCAGGAATTAACTAACTACACAAAGGGATATAATTCTGTCAAATTCTAAGACAGAGATAAAATCTTTTTTCTCCCAAAAGTTGTACTACAATATTCATTTACCTTCCTACAATCTTTTTTTTCCCCTAATTTGATACAATTTTCCACAAAAAAAGACCAGATATTCTGAAACTATGTAACAACAGATGAATTTAAGTCAGAGACAATAGTCGCACAGTGAGACAGCGGAATGAGGCAATGAATTGTAGTAATTGATAGTACAGTCTGGGACAGATCAAATATTGGTTTAGGACTGTACATTATTTATTCCATGTAATGACTGCCTTGTATTTAGTTTTCTTTATAGACACTTTCTTAAAATAAACATGCTTCCCAATTCATGAATAATAATAACCTTGCAATATCAAAAGATATGCAAGCTTCTTTCTCCTTTGTATTTTTGAAACATATCGTATACACTTGTGTTTACAAGGTGTTATTTTAACAGTGGTTTAAGTTACTGCCATTAAATACAAATTATACATGTAGTCTACATGTTTTGTCTCACTTAAAACAAGGAGTCATATGATAATGAGTATATGTTAAGGTTAAATCCCATTGCTATTTGCTAGTACTTGTATATGAGCAGAATACATATGTATGACATCCTAAATAACAAAACAGTTCAAACCAAATTGGAAAGGTAAGGCATACTATAATCATGTTTTACTATAACTTTATAAATCATTATTCACAACACAGCATTAAACTGTAATGTGAGGTAATATGGTGACTTTCCATCTTTATAAGCAGGAAGGGATCAAAAGCACCCCCTGTAGCATCAGAAGCAATTCCCTTAAGCATCAGATGTCCCTCCTTGAAGCCTCAGAAGCCCCCTCCCTGAGGCATCAGAATCACCTCCCTGAAGCATCAGAAGCCCCCTCCCTGCAGCATCAGATGCCCCCTCCCTGAGGCATCAGAAGCCCCCTCCCTGCAGCATCAGAAGCCCCCTCCCTGAGGCATCAGAAGCCCCCTCCCTGAGGCATCAGAATCACCCCCCTGAAGCATTAGAAGCCCCCTCCCTGCAGCATTAGAAGGCCCCTCCCTGCAGCATCAGAAGCCCCCTCCCTGAGGCATCAGAAGCCCCCTCCCTGCAGCACCAGAAGCCCCTCCCTGAGGCATCAGAAGCCCCCTCCCTGAGGCATCAGAATTACCTCCCTGAAGCATCAGAAGCCCCCTCCCTGCAGCATCAGAGGCCCCTCCCCGATGCATCAGAAGCCCAAGCAGGCAAAATTCTGAGTAGAACAACCAATCTTTAGTAAGCTAGTCTCTAAAATAATATATGCTTCATGTCAGGGTTTTGTTTGTTTTGTTTTGTTTAAAGGTGCATCAACAAGCCGTGAATTTTGACTAACCTTGTGTGTTACAAACTTAAAGCAACATGTCAGGGTTAACAGCAGTGTGAACCATGTTACATTTTTCGAGATACAGAACAAGCCATTATAATAACCATACATACAAGTAAAATACAACATAGAAAAACCAGATCTTAAATTCTTACCCAGTATCTCCTAGTCCATGAAGGAAGATCAACTGAAAGAAATAAAGTAAATACATTTTACTTTATATTGTTTAAAATATTAATTCTATTATCTAACATATGCTTTAATAGCATGACCCAGTTAAAAAATATGACTATTTCAGTCAGTTCTAACCATTTTCTATAATAGTTTTACATATTTGTTAACTAATATATAACAATCAAAGCACTGAATGTACTGATGGGGAGGCTATGAGAGAATGTTTCAGACTTATAGTGTCTTTTCTTTTTGCTTAAAATATGCTACAAAAATAAAAAGATATGCACATTGCGCTATTTATCCTTACTGTTGTGTTCAACCATTCATATATATGGTTAATGTGGTTGACTATTCATTTTGTTAATATTCCAGAACATTTCATTAAGGTCTACATTCGGACTGTTAATCATACAAATTTTGAAAAACCTAAACTGTCAATAATAAATGACATACCAGCAAGTATGACGACTGTTCATTATCAGATAACAATAACATTTTTACAACTGACGGTTCCTTATCAAAAATAACAGGAACTTGAAATTCTATCAAATAACCAATATTAATTATAATATCCAAATATACCCCCTATATACTATAAAAAAACACAAACACAGGAACTTGAAATTCTATCAAATAACCAATATTAATTATAATATCCAAATATACCCCCTATATACTATAAAAAAATTTATAGTATATAGGGGGTATATTTGGATATTATAATTAATATTGATTATTTGATAGAAT